CACTAACCTGAGTTTTCCTTCGAAAGGACCATCTTTGGCAATATGTGTGACGTAAATGGCTCCATCATTTCCTCCGTAGTGTGGGTCGTCTGCACCTCCGGCAACGACAAACCCAACATCCCGTTCAGATACAACACCCTGAAAGCAAAATTTCTGGTAAAAAAAAAAAAAAAAGTGGTGTGAAAAAAAAATCATATGTAAAGCTGGAAAACTATTGCAACTGAAATCAATCATACTAACTTTTGTTTGTGACTTTTACAAGTACTAGTTGCAGTGAAGTGATACACTTTGTTTTAAGTGACATATTCAAATTGAGTCTGTTATAAGTTTTGTAGCTTACAATTGGCAAATGAAGAATATCAGTTTCCCATTCTTGCATATCAGTGTCGATTGCTGAATCTCTTGAGTGATTATGAGCTGCCAACTGACGGACAACAGCTGCCTTTTCCTGTTCTGCCTCAAGTCTTTCTCTGCAATTATATAAAAAAAAATATACATATATATATATAGAGAGAGAGAGATAGACAGAGAGAAAGATAGATAGACAATAGATATGTTCCATATTCCATTACTATCTTAAAATACCTGAATGCTAAGATTTCTCTCAGAAAAAAGAGAAAAACTCACTTCAGTTCCTTTAATTCTTTGGATGCTTCATTACGCTGTTTCTTCATATCATCCGAGTCCCTAAGAGCTTCGGCCAACTCAGACACAGCTCTGTCTCTCTCTCTCCTCAGCTTATCACAGTGAGCACGAATTGACTCTCTCTCTTGAACAATTTTGTCTCGCTCACTGAAAGCCCAGTCGCGTCGCCGCTTGGATACTTCTGCCTCTTGTTGTGCCTCTAAAATGCCGTAAACCGAATGAATGAGTGTATATACATAAATGCACGTTTTTATCCTACATGCCTAGTAATCATCCAATGCAACACGTGAAAGAATAATTACCATTAAACCAGATGCCCTTTTTGACTCACATATTTTGACTTACAATCACCTGAACACTTTCAACACGGTTCACATCAAGAGACGAGACACCCATCCTTCACATTGCATGACAATCTATCAGCTACAAACTTGAATCCCTTTATTTCTGCACAAGCATGATAAAGGGAGGGAGGGGGAGGGGGGGGGGGGAGAGGGAGAGGGAGAGGGAGAGGGAGAGGGAGAGGGAGAGGGAGAGAGAGGAGAGGGAGAGGAGAGGGAGGGAGAGAGGAGAGAGAGAGAGAGAAGAGAGAGAGAGAGAGAGAGAGGAGAGAGAGAGAGAGAGAGGAGAAGAGGAGAGAGAGAGGAGAGAGAGAGAGAGAGTGAGTATGTGTATGCAAATATACAAAGAAGAATAAAGGTACTCAAGGAAAAGTGTGAAGGATTTCCCACTAGTGAACCTATTTTAATAAGTTTTATCACAAACAGTGAGAAGTATACCTTGTAATTACAGGAATATGCATAACCCTTTCTGGGATGGGCCTTTTACACTCTCTTCTAATCATTCTGTTTATTAAAACATTTCCCGCACTCATGTACACACAAAAAAGACTTACGGGCTACAGTTGCAATTGTCACTGAATATCAGAATATCTACATCAAGCTGTTCCCTGTGCTACAGAAAGTAGGAAATGTCAACTCCTTACCAAAACTGATTATCAAGACGTTACTCAAGGCCTTCTTTTTTTAAATCCCCAGACAGAGTTTAGAAAGATCAATAAGGGATACCAATTTACAACTTTTTAAATACAACCAATCAGGCCATGATACCTGCATAGACAAGAAATTGTACGGAATAAAAAAAAAACAAAAAAAGAAAACCAACAATGCTTTTACTTCTCTTTTCTCATTCTCTCCCGTATCCTTCATACTTTTTCTTTATCTTTATATCCACTTTTCTCCCTAGAATCCCTATTGCCCTAGCTCTTAAGAGAACCAGCCTAAATAGGGTGGAGGGGAAGTTTTTTTTTTGGGTGGGGGGGGGGGGGGTTCAAATCAATCTATATTCCTAAATAAAAAAGATACCCACATGGGAGAAGACGTACCCATCACTGAATAATAAAAACTTAAAAAAAAAAAAAAAAAAAAAAAATCTCTCATCCCAGTGGATTATCACTTAGGTTTGAAAAATATAAAAACTGAAAAAAAATCAATGAATTCCCAAGAGGACTACGTCGGTTTCAGTTCACTTCGGTTTTCCTTTAAATAAATGAATTGAACCCTATTTTCAATTTTCAAAAATTCAATTTAAAAAACATAGCATAATCTCTGCAGATTTTTAAAAGGTCTATAAAAATACATTTACAAATTCAAGTAGTAAGAATTCTAAAAGAAAGGATAAAGAATTAAAAAGTTGATATTTGAAGTTCATTTTCTGTAACTTTTTATTTACAAATATTTATATCTATTTACTGTGAAACTACTATCATTCTCTTTTACAAATGGAATTTATTATAATCAGTCAGCAAGTTACAGAAATAAATGACTCCAATGAAAATGGGTAATCCAAACCCAAG